TATTACTTTATTTGGTTACTTTCCCAAGTCTGTCCTTGAATCATAAATTTTAGGCACTCCTTTCACCCTTGAAATGAATGTGTTTGTCTAGAGGCATAACTATGTTTTTATTGCAATAAAATTGTTATTATTTACCACTTTAGAAAAATATTTATTATAGTATAGCCTAAATACAGAAGATGAAGTCTGGTAAACTTTTAACATAAGTTTTGATTATTATCTACAGCATTTTAATTAGCGTATTAAATTCACATAAGCATTGTGTTTCAAATAAAGTCTCATTTTAACATTTCATTCATGAGAGTCTATTGTTGAATTAAGACATTTTGAATTCTTCATTTGTTATATTAAATACATTTTAGAAAGTAGTTTTATAGGACAGGTTTTTTTTTTTCAGGCATTTTTATGAACATTGTGCCAGGTACACACCATAGGTGCTCAGATATGTTTGTTGAATTGACTTGAGTCATTATGAAGTCCATTTGGAATGTGTTGTGATAGAGCATTTGTTGTAACGACAGTTAGAACTAATGTTAAAAAACACTCGTTTATTAATGCTAGAAATAAAACTGATTAGATTCATGGCAAGCGATGAATCTAATGTTATCAGTTGTTTATTTTTAAATATATTGATACATGTAAAAGATTACAAAAACATGTTATTTAGAAAGTATACTATAATGAACTTTATGGACTCACCTAACCTAAGAATTAGAACATTAACACCACAAGTTTTTTTTAAATAAATGTTCTCTCACTCTCTCCTAAAAATAAAATTTAGACAAATATCACATAACTAAAGTTGTAACAGAAAACTGCAATATGCTTGAAGAATTTAAAAGTCAAAGTTGTGCGGAGTGTATAGAGGTGAGAATAAATATTTACTTGTAAATATATTTTAAGATTTATGTGTTAGAACTTTTATTAACACTCAAAGAAAGTTCAGTAAAACTGACAACACACAAGGAATAACTGTAAAGTTCAATAATGTGTTTGAGGGAAAAGTTTAATAAATTCTGATTGAATTTTTTTGGAAAGGAAATAGCATCTTGATGAGAATTTTCTAATGTTATAGGTTTTAAAGAGTTAATAAAAAATTAAACTTTGTTTTTTTTTTTAAACTAAAAGGCTTTTAATTAGTTGAGTAAATATTTTCTTTGGTAACAGCTTTATTGAGATGTAATTCACATGCCATACAATTCACTCATAAGAAATATGATTGTAACTAAATTTTTAACAAAGGATTTAGGAAAACATTGAATGTTCTATTTAATGTTCTCTAAAGCCATTCAGATGATCCAGTTTATTTTATTTAATTTATTCATTTTGAAACTTTGAGTGTTTGAAGTGAAAAGTTTCAGTTATATCTGGAGCATCTTTGATTTCCTTTTGATTTTCTTGTTAACTGGCCTTGTTCTTTTTGGCAATTAATCTAAACTTGCCTATTCGTGTTATTGATTGATATATTGTAAGCATTCAGGTGTATTGAATAATATAGTATTTTCTAAACTAAAATTAAAATTCTATCTTGCATTTTTCTCCCTACCATATGGCAGAGCAGACCTAATAAGGTATATATAAAAGTGGGCCTGCCAAGAACTGTAGGCAGGGGGTCAGCTGTTAGCAGTTATTTATAATGTGATGATTTTGTTTAGTTTTTAATGTTCCTTTAACAAAGTTAACATTGAGTTATTAGAGACACTTTACATATACCAAAATATTAAGTATTATATTCTCATTTTTTACATAAATAATCCCCTGGGTTATTTCTGATATCAAAGATAGAAACCCAGGTTTATTTTTCCTAGGTATAGGGGTTCTTGATTGTCTTTGCAGTTAATTGATGGGTCTTCTTTCACCTTGGTTTCTCAGCAAGGAGAACTAATGAAAATAAAAGGAAATGAAGAGTTTTCCAAAGAAAGATTTGATGTAGCTATTATCTATTACACCAGAGCCATTGAATATAGGTAAGAGCTAAACAGAACAATGAGATCCTTTTTATGTGGCAGATCAAGTTAGAATGTAGTCAGGAGACATAAAAGCAAGATGAGGAATTGAAGAGCATCTTTACTTGCTATGCAGACAGATTTTCTTACTGTTAGGCATTAGAAACATTAGAGATGGTCTGAGTATATGAACTCAATCGAATAGTATAACTGAAGCAAGTCAGGCCAGATTGTGAATATATAGTTCTGCCCTGCTCTGTTTTCTTTCAAGCTTTCTAGTACAGATTCCTCTGTTCTTTCTTGTTTTCATTTTGCCTTCAACAAGTTTCTTCCACGTTATTAACTGATCAGAAAGGGTTAGTTACTAATACTGAAGACGTCATCCATTCAGGGGTTTTTACTTTCTAAGAGAGTAACAGTTGGAATTATTGAGAATGCACATGTTCTCTCTACCTCCTATTTGCTCGGCCTAGAATTTG